TTTTTTGAGGTTATCCTCATTGATCCATTCTATAAAGCTATCAGAAGGAACCCTAACACCCAGTGGATCACCAAACCAGTCCACAAGCATAGAGAGATGTGTGGGCTGACATCTGCTGGCTGCAAGAGCCTCGGCCTTGGAAAGGGCCACAAGTTCACTATTGGTGACTCCTGCCGTGCAGCCTGGAGAAGGCACAATACTCTGCAGCTCCACCATTACCACTAATACATGTAATGTTTGTAAAATTCACACCCAATGAACTATTTAGAACCATTCAAAAAAGATTAAATAACTGCATGAATCTAATCTGCAAATGGCAATGTAAGAGTTACATCTTCAATAATCATCTGTAACAGTCACATATTTATGTTTTGTTATAACATATGTTATTGGATGGATGGATGGATGGATGGATGGATGGATTTCCCCAATCCTTGCTTAGAATATGTCATAGTCTGGGCTAGCTCCGATGCTAGCTGAAAAGTACACAGAAAAGTAGGGATTCATTTAACTTTAAACTTATTTTTAAGATTAAATAACTGGATCCTTTCCTCTGGCGGCAACCATCAGGTGAGCCAAGAAAGGTGTATACCAGTACATCCAGGAGCTATGGAGGAAGAAGCAGTCTGACATGATGCACTTTCTTCTGAGAGTCTGTTGCTGACAATACTGCCAACCCTGTTTGCTATGCTGGGCTCCCCGCCCCACTCGGCCTGATAAAGCGCAGAAGCTAGGGTACAAAGCCAAGCAAGATTATGTCATATACAGAATTCGTGTCCGCCATGGTGGCCACAAATGCCCAGTTCCTAAGGATTCAACTTACGGCAAGCCTGTCCATCATGGTGTGAACAAGCTAAAGTTTGCCCGAAGCCTGTTGCTGAGAGAATTGGATATCACTGTGGAGCTTTGAAGAGTCCTGAATTCTTACTGGATTGATGAATATTCCACATACAAGTTTTTTGAGGTTATCCTCATTGATCCATTCTATAAAGCTATCAGAAGGAACCCTAACACCTAGTGGATCACCAAACCAGTCCACAAGCATAGAGAGATGTGTGGGCTGACATCTGCTGGCTGCAAGAGCCTCGGCCTTGGAAAGGGCCACAAGTTCACTATTGGTGACTCCTGCCGTGCAGCCTGGAGAAGGCACAATACTCTGCAGCTCCACCATTACCACTAATACATGTAATGTTTGTAAAATTCACACCCAATGAACTATTTAGAACCATTCAAAAAAGATTAAATAACTGCATGAATCTAATCTGCAAATGGCAATGTAAGAGTTACATCTTCAATAATCATCTGTAACAGTCACATATTTATGTTTTGTTATAACATATGTTATAACATAAATATAAGCCCCATCCAGCTGTCTCACCCACATGGGCTGATGCCACCCCCAACCCCCAGCACACCAGCCCTCCCACAGCCTTCATCTGTTGACCAACAGACCAACAGGGACTAAGGAAGCTGCACTCACTCCTTCCTGGCATACTCCTGGGTCCCCTTGTGTGGGGCACCTTAGTTCCCAGGAGGGGAACATTATGCCTTTGGGTAGTGATTCAGCTGGCTCTGCTGAGAAAGCTCAAGCCCATTCCTGAAGACAGATGAAAATAAGGGTTTTCCAAAGCTGGAACTGTAAACTTGTTGACAATGGAGGCCAAAAGGGCCAGAGATGAGAAGCAGTTTGTAGATTCTGGGTCTGGACTCACCAGGGTCAATTTTTCTAACAGAGACCCACATTGGGTCTGGAAGAGAGCCTGCTTACTGCCAAGTAAACACATCGACAGCCCTCCTATAATTGAGGAGAAGTCTCCTGGATCACAGATGCATGTCGTAATTACCCTAGGATTCCTCTGAGAAAGTGTCGACATAATTTCCTTTGTGTGTGATTTCCAAAAGGACATGTGTCCTATCCAGTGCGCTCTAAATGTTCCCCATTGATTGTCTCAAGATACAGTGTGTTGATTTTTCAGCCCAGAGTGTATAAGGTGAAGGAAACAATAACCAAATATAGAAAATATCGATCTGCAACCATTGA